CAGACACTTGAGAGCCTCTGCACTCAGTGGCTTTGCCACCTTGTGCAAGTTTTCAGACTTCCCTGAGCCTTAAAATTTTATTTTCTGCCCTCTGCAAGTCAACGGGTTAGTATAAGAGTCAGATGAGGAAATGGACCTATGTATGCTTTGAAAGCTGATTTTTTAAGAGCTTTTTAAAAGAAAGGGATAGTAAAATGTCAGTCTTTTCTGTATCTGATTCACCAAATGTCATGTGCCACATAGTTGCTAGGTGATCTATTCCAGTCACCCCTTTGGGATTAAGTTAATTGAAAGATACGGGGCGGGGGGCGGGGGGGGGGGCTTCTGTAAACTGGAGATTATGTTAAGAGATTGTCCATATTATCTCTTTGTTCTGCATTTGACCCGAGGTCATTAGGCCACCAGCTGGAGTTTGGAAGTATTTTTATTTGTATGAGAACTTGTATTTCATAAGGTGTGACTCATATCAGTCTTACCACAAAGAATCTCAGTGTCAGATAATTGAGATCCTCTGCAGCCTTGCTCCACAAAGTTGGTTTGCGGGCCGGCAGCATGAACTTCACCAAATAGAAATGCACAGTCTCAGGACACACTCCAGATGTATCCTGCATTTGAACAGGGTCCCAGGGGATACGAGCACACTTAGAGTTTGAGAAGCACTACTCTGCAATATCCCAACTAGTAGGGGTCAATGCAACCTCAGCTAGAACAGCTGCTGGTATGCCTTCTATAGTTGGACAGCCCTTACTTTTAGAAAGTTTCCCTTTGAAACCGGCTCACCTCCTTCAGCTCCCTCAGCCAAGTAAGGAGGAGGATCCTTCAGGGCTGGAGGGGCCGTAGGAACACTGACCATGCTCGCAGAAGTCATCCTGATCTCCCTGGGCCCTCTCTTCTGACCTTCTGCTAACTGCCACAGGAAAATTCCCTTTTCTGTGGACCATTTTCCCACTTCCCTGATCTTTGAGAAAACAACTCTAATTACAGTACAGCACAGTAGTTTAAAGACCCTTTCAGTGGCCAGCATTCTCCTGAGTCCAGATTATACATAAACCAAGCAGTATTAAAATTTAAAACAAAAAACAAAAACATTTTCTTAGTTTCATAAGCATAGGTTGACCAATCTGCCAGAATTTGCCCCAGAGGGCTGTGCCCCAGAATGGAGGCCCCCCCCCCATACCATACTACCAGACAGGGCTCTGTAATAACACAGAAACCAGAAGCCTTTAATTCCTGACAACCATTCTAAGTCATGACCCAAGACTGCAGTCTTTCCAGACACAGTTCTGTAATATCACACAAACCAGAAAGCACCTCAATTCCTGAAGACTATCCTAAGTCATAACCCAGATTTGATCAAAAATGAAGGGGATGGAGAGTGCTGAGAATCAGAGGAGGAGAGCCCCAAGGGAAATCACTTTGGCAGCTACTAGGGAGTCTCTAAGTCTGCACCCCAAGGCCTCCTCAGTCCACGCAGCCAGCAAGACTCCCTGCCAAATACCCAGACTTACCGGAGAGTCCTGAAAGTGTCCCATGAGAGTCCCCAGAAAATGAAACCAGAAAAGTCAGCATGTGTGTTGCCTGTAACTACCAGAACCAATAGGTAGAGACAAGGATTGAATCTGTATTGACACTTTATTCAGGTGCTGGTGATCTGAGAAAACGGCAGGTTATGTTCCTCAAAAACCATCTTAACATCCCATCTGAAGCCAGCCTCTTTAATAGGGGTTAGGAAAGGGCAGGTCAGGGGTTTAGAAAAAATTTAATCAAATAAGAGTTGCAGTCCATGACGATTTTCCTAGTACCATCTCCATCATTTGCAGACCCCCTGGGCCCAAAGTTTGAATTGCTTGTCCTGGAGTTAAATAGGTCATGCATTCCAGTTCCTGGAATAAAAGCTTTCCACGTGCATTAATCACTTAGGCTTGTCAACTATGACTGAGGTGAAAATCTTTAATTCTTGAGTTCCCCTATCACTGTCTCTCAAGTCAAAATCTGCCTGGATGCAGCGTTATCTTCAATCACCAAGATATGGAAGCAGCCCAAGTGTCCCTCAGTGGATGAGTAGATAAAACAACTATTTACACAATGGAATATTACTTGGCCATAAAAAAGAAGATTTTACCCTTTGTGACAGGATGGATGGACCTGGAGAACATTATGCTAAATGAAATAAGCTAGTCAGAGAAAGACAAATACTATATGATTTCACTTATACATGGAACTGAATGAACAAACTGAACTAACAAGCAAAATAGAGACAGACTCAGAGAGAGTGTTGTGGTGGGTAGGGGTTAGGGGTTGGGTTGAACAAAAAGGAAAAAGGACTCATGGACATGGACAATGGTAATTGTTGTGGGGGGAGGGGAGGAGGTCTAAGGCAATTAAATGATAATGGAAAAAATACAATTAAAAACATTTTTTTAATCTACCTGGAGCTATTAACCACTCAGGGTGCCCAGAATAAGTTTCATTCTCCTGCCCTCAGAGTAGGTGCTTGGAGATGTCATTACTTTCCTTTCTTATGCAGGAGCCTGATCCAGGGGATGGACAGGCGGTGAATGGGGTGGGGCGGGCTATGCAGGGTCAGCTCCTGGTCACCTGCAAAAGGCCTGCAGGTCCTGAAACATTGCAGAAGGAGCTTGAAATGGCCTCCTCTAGTTCCATCTCTTCCTTCACTCCTGTCAGAGCCCAGGGGGCTGGTGTAAGTGATAGCAGTTTGGAAGGGGCTTAGAGAACTTGAAGAGGTTTCACAAAAGGACCAGCCTGTAGAAGTGGTGTCTGCAGTGGATGTGGGTCCTGCAGGGCATGCGTGCTGAAGGGTGAGGTCATTTACAGGGGCAATGACCAGGCAGGGATGGTGTGGTGATGTGGAAAGACAGCCTAGCAGCTTTGCCTCGCCCAGCTGTGTGACATTGGGGAATGCACGAAACCCTTCTGAGCATCAGCATCCTGGGTTCTGAGCATCAGCATCCTGGGTTCTGAGCATCAGCATCCTGGGTTCTGAGCATCAGCATCCTGGGTTCTGAGCATCAGCATCCTGGGTTCTGAGAGACAGCAGGATTGACAGACCCTGTGCTGCCCATCTCCAGGGTTCCTGTGGGACTCAGTGAAGACTGTGTCCGTGGGCACACTTGATAATTTGGGAAATGGTTTGAGGAGGAAAGGGAAGGTCCAATGAGACAGTGGAGGAATCCAGGAAACAAGTGTACCCCTAATCCACTGTGTGATGTCAGAGGAAGCCCTCACCCTCTCTGTGCCTTCCTGTGAAAGAAGTGAGTTACACAAAAGATCTCTGAGTGCCCTTCTAGGAGGGCTTGTTGTGGCTGAGGCTGATTGCTACGACTGTGGGTTGCCCGGAGGAGTTCTCCAGGGATGGCCCTTCAAATGTGTATTTAGGGAGACTTCCAAGAGCCTGGAGTGGAATCCTCTTTGAGGGAAATGATTCCAGGCACTGCCAGTGAAGGCCCGGCCCGTGCCGGGGGAGACCCCCTTAAAAGATGGGTGCTGGGCCGTGACCGCACCTGTGTCTCCCTGTCAGCATGTGGTGCCTGAGCTGGTGAGTGAGGAGTGACGGTTGCATTTCTGCAACTGCATCGGGACACTCATTTCTGGAAGTGATGTGAGCTGTCTGAACTCCTCTCATACCTAGCTGGAGTGCGTCGTGTGCAGATTTTCCCAGGGAACAGTCTTGTTCGATACTTTAAATATTACCAAGGAGCTTTACAAAAGCATTACTCTCCTTTCAGTTTTTATGAGTACTGAAATACAGCATACCTGAGAGTTTTATGAGCCCGCTTAGCCAGAGGAGGCCCTAGTCAACAAGATAATCGAAACTGGCTTTTGGTCCAGCAGCCCATCCACAAGGGCTTCCCAGCTGAGAGTGAGGGGACCAGTGCACATGATTGCTGAGGGACACAACTCTCCCTTAAGACAGCCCTTCCGAGTCTTTCCTGCCAGTCCGGGGACGCTGTGTTGTTCATTCTCACCTCACCGCAGCCATGTTTCCAACTTCCCATTTCATTGCCTGGATGCTCGCTTCTAACTCTGTACATTGCATTTTCTCCTGTGCACCCACCGTGTTGTCATGGAAACTCAGTGGCTGTAGGCCGCGAGTATCCGGTGTCATCGAGTGTGATGGTGTGGTACGTGTATTTGCTCACACTTTTATTTTGATTTCTTTCCAATATGACATCTGCTAAAATGTCTCCCTTATAATTTGCTTGGTGATCACAGCCTTCTCATCATTCATTGAGAGCAGGACCTGATCTCACAGAATCTGAAAAGAGCTATGTGGTAAGATGCCTGTTGAATAAGACTGTAGCTTTTCTAAAGAGAACCCCTACTGACTTCTAGAGTCTAGACTGAAGCAATGCTTGGTTAACTCACCGAGCCATTATTTACAAAAATTATGTGGCTATTGCAGTAGAGAGAGGTGGTAGGCCACCCACTTCCCTCTCAAAAAATGCAGAGGAATTTAGAGATGATATTTCTACTCTGCCTACATGTGGGGTTAAATTGATGTTGTTAGTGCATGATCGGGGATACATACTTGCATTTCTATCCTGAAATTATTCTGTTTATAACAGTTACTCACTAATTACAGGCTTTTATGCTGCTACCTTTTTTTTTTTAATATTCATACTAAATTCCAAATTCTGTATCTTACCTGTTTTTCCATGCTTACGCCTGGATCCCTCCTGCACTCCACTACTGGAATATCTATATTTTTAACCTGGATCTTCAACTCTGTTGTTTCCCTGGACTTATGTGCTTCGTCTGGAATGTTCCATCTCTTCCTCTCTTTCTTTTTTTGTCCCCATGTTGACTGTTTTATGGGGGTTTCTGGATATCTCGGGGCCACCTCACAGGAAGCAGTTTGCAATGAGATCATAAACATTGCCGAAAAATCTGTTCATTACTGCAGCACTGTTTCTCATCCCCTTGACTTTCATCACAAGGTATCCCCTTCTGACAATAAATCATCTTTAATCATTTCTCAGCAACCTCAAGCCCAGCAGCGAAGAGTCACCCCAGACAGGAGTCATGCCTCCCAAGATTTGTAAGTACACTTGACAGACTTCAGTTCTCATATCTTAGTAGATGGTTGGGCTTAGAAAGTGGGTCATGGACTGACTGTAGGGGAATGAATGCATCACTCCCTGCTCCTCTGAGAATTCCATCTTTTCCATCAGCCAGTGTGAGACAGGTGGCAGGTAAATAAAGGAGGTCATGGACCAGTGGGAGAAAGATGGTTGGAGAGTGAACTGCTGCCCAAGGGCAAGTGGGAGCTGTGCTGACTGGTTTCACTCCTCGTGTGGGAATGTAGAGGAAGGAATGGCTGGTTCTGACTAGAGCTGAGTGAATAGGATTTATTTATTCATTAAAAATATATATATTGCCCTGGACAGTGTGGCTCGATTGGTGGAGCATCATCCTGTTGCCAGTTTGGTTGTCCATTTGATTCCCGGTCAGGGCACCTGCCCAGGTTGCAGGCTCGATCCCCCGGTTGGGGTGCGTGCAGCAGGCAGCCGATCGTGTTTCTCTTTAGCGTTGATGTTTCTCTATCTCTCCCCTTTCCCTCTCTCTCAAATGAGAATAAAATAAACTTTTAACAATACAAAACTAAAAAATATTGGCTATCTCCTATGTTTTAAGCACAAAGGAGTTAACTCCATTCACAGAGGAAGGGGGTTTGGAATACACACTGAAAGACAGATTGGATCTGAGAGCTAGAACAGGGGTCTTTCTAGCTGAGGAAACCACATGTGCAAAGGTGGAGCATTTGGACAACTTCAAAAATGCCCATGGGGCCATGAGATACAGTTTATGGAGAAAACAGAGATAACACTCAGGTAGGTTGGGACCAGGTCGTAGAATCCATAATGCGACTGAAATAAGTGTGGAATTTATTCTGCAGACACTCAGGAGCCACTAGAGGGTTTTGAAACGAGAGGCATATTGATTATATTTTATTTTCAGGAGACAACTCTGGTAAAGGAATAGAAGGTAGATCTCAGAGATGAGGGACAAAGATATTGGTTGGAAGATATTATAATCCAGCCAAGAAGCGATGAGGGCCTTAGCTGGGACAGAGTGTGTACTTTGTCACCACGGACACGAGATTCCCCAAGGAGATTCAGGGTAAAGTGAGAAAGGAAACGTGGGTAGGTCCTTGGAGAACCAATTTTTAAGGCAACCAGAGGTGGCAACAAAGGAGACTGAGAAGGAGCAGCAAGAGACTCAGGAAGGGTCTAGGAGCAAACCCTTGCGCAGAATGGAGCAAGCGTGTTTGGTCAGCGGTGCCTCCTGCTTCAGAGAGGCCAAGGAGGGTAGGAAGTAAGAAATGTGCTCCAGGTGTTCTGTTTGGCAACTGGAAAAATCACTGGTGATCTCGGAGACAGCAGTGTTAGGATCAAGGAGCCAGTTTGATGGTGTGTGAAAGGGTAGAGATGGAGCAAGCAGCAGACACAGAGGAGGTATTTTTAAGGTGCAGAGGCCTCAGTACATTTGTACCAGAGGAGAAGGGATTGACAGAGTCCAAATATGTGAGAGAAGACGGAAGTTAAGGAAATAGCCTGTGGAAAGGAGTTCAGCATGGCCAGAAGGGACCCTTCCTCACACATGGGAACAGGGGCAGAAGGGAGAAAGTATAGAGACTTAAACCTGAAGGGGAGGAAAGTTAAAGTGATGCCCACAGTAAGCTTCCTCTCAGGAAATGGGGGCAGAGTGAAGAGCCCTCTGCACCAGAAGTGGCAGAGGAGATGGGCAGACTCAATGGAACAGGGTCCTGAGCAGCAGGCGGCCCATCCAAAATTAGAGCTGACTGGGCGATGCCAGCAGCCGGGTGACAGGACTTTCTCCCGCCAGGCTCCGTAGTCTGGGAGTGAGAACAGAGGAGAGACATCAGGAGTTACTGTCCAGGGCTGAGCCCAGCAAAGCAGCCAAGTGCAAGTGAAGCAGGGAAGGCAGTCCAAGGACTCCAGGTTGGGTGGGAGGCAGCAGGCAAATACAGAAACATCAAAATGGGTTCATTTGCCAACTGGAAATCTGTTTGCCGTTCTTAATTCCTCTTTAGAGACCTTCCTTTGGCAGACAGATCCATCTACCAAAATATCAATACATTTGGACAAATATGTCAAGTTAAATTGTCCCTTTGGCTTTAACAGAGGAGAATGAGCCCCTTGTTTCTGGGAACTGGCTCCACTTACTTTTATCTAGTCTGTCCAGCTCACACTGGACATCACTGACATCTACTAAAATGGTAGATGTTTGGCTCATTTGCAAAGTTTTGCCTGCTACTGTTGTGTTACAAAATTGTGAGTAAACAGAATTGTGAACTGGTGCACAGTGGATGCCTCTGAAATATTTGTTAAAGGAGTAAGAGGAAACAAAGCTTTGCCTGTTGCCAAAGCAGATATCAGATTTCACTACACTAGCCCATCTTCCTCCAGTGGCTGTTGTTAGAACAAGCAGAACAGCACACACCAAGTGGCCTTAGGCCAGCTGCCAAGTAAACAAAAATCTTAACTCCCAAATCGCTGGGATAGAAAAAAAGCTTTCAAGAGTTTCAGAAGAATGACATCCATATTTGATAGAAATGAGTGAAATGTATGTTGTTGTATTAAGGAACTCAAGGTAGTTTTGCTAAATAGTGGGGCAACGGGAATATGTTTATATGTTTTCATATAAAAAGGATAATTTTATAATATATAACAATTGTCTTGGGCTCTCCAATGTAAATGACCAGAATATGCATCTATCTCTGGACCTAAGTAACCTCTGATTTTTCTTGATAATCTACACAAATTATCCTATGTTAAGAAAAATCCTTCATTAACTTTAAAGAGGGCAGGCATCTAGACAAAATCCTTGGTTATGGTAACCAAATGAAACTAAGTGAAAGGACCGATCATGACTTGCTTGTCAGAAGTTTTCCGTCCCTGTCCTTCTTAATTTATGGTCATGTGTTGGATGGATCTTCCCCAATGCTAAGTCATTAGAGAAATAGCCAATACAATATTTTTGTCTCTGCCAAAGAGTAGGAAACACTACCTAAATGCCGATTTAACTGAAATGGCTTAAAAATTCCTTATTTAACCCTATTAAGCCCTTAATATTCATTGTTCTCATTTATAGATTTAGCTACCAAGCATTATATAGCTATATACCACAGAACGATGATGAGTTGGAACTCCGAGATGGAGATATTGTTGATGTCATGGAAAAATGTGACGACGGATGGTTTGTTGGTGAGTGATCTCATCATGCTTTTCGTACCAGTTGTGTTTTGGAGGAATAACTCCTGGTTATTCCTCAGCTCCTCCAAAAAGCAATATTCTGTGCATGGAAAGAAGAGCCTTCTCAGTTCCTGTACCACCATTAGGAAGGCTGGGGCACCCAGTTTTTGTTTGCTCTCAAGACTGTGTGGATGGCAGTGATATTGTACCTAAGACCAAATATGCCAACATCAAGTGCACGGGAGGGCAGTTGTCAAATTCATTAATTATGTTTGTATTTCTAATGGACATGTAGCTGTCCTACATTTGGAAATTTTATTTTTGTAACTCTCATTTATGAAACAACACAGAAAAACTTGACTGAGCCTCAGTCTGTACCATGAAACTCCAGCATATGTTAGACATTCTAAAGATCTCATTTACTCCAGCCTTCTAATAATTTTAATCAAAGCAGCTTGCTTAATTAAAGCAAAGGATTTGTCTTTTGAAAACAGGGGAAGGAAAGATTATTGATATTCTGTTATAAAGCAGATCCTTGCTTGATAAACTTTCTTATTGACATTCTTTCAACAAACATCCTATAAGCCAAGAATTATCCTCATTTCACAGATGCAAAAACTGAGCCCACAGAGATCAAGTAACTAGCCCAAGGTCACCCAGGTAGCAAATAGTGGCGCCAGTATTTGAACCAAGGCTCCTCTCTCCCAAAGCCTCTGTTCTTTCTGCTCAGGAATGATGTTGGGAGCCACTGACTCACCTTTTGCCTCAATTTTCCACTTTACAAATGGCTTTACCTTTATCTTCTTTCCAAAAACTAGCTCTTTCCTGATCTCTCTGAAAAGGCTTTGCTAAAGCAAAGTAATGTCAGGGCTGAGGTAATGAGAATGGCAGGTCTCTGCATCAGTGGGAAGCCAGAAAGATTTGCCTTGGCCCCCCCAGCCTCTTAGAGAGCTGCCCCATCCTCCCAAGGCCCCCAGAAGCCCGCAGCCCTCGCTGCCTTAAGTTGTTGTGTTCAGAAGGAAACCAGCTCGGAGAAGTCAACAATTGTATAGTGCAGCGATTTTTCAACTGGTGTGCCTCAAGAATTTCTAAAACATGCTACACCTGACTATTTAAAAGAGGGACACTGACCTGTTTTCCCTTATATTGTCAAATAAAAAAAATGACAACAGCCAACACAACAATAGCTGTCCGGTGTGAATGAATCAAAATTATACCTACTTTTTTTGTCGGATCGGCCAAAAAAAATATTTTTTGGTGTGCCGCAGAATTTTAGTAATTAGTTTATGTGTGTCATGAGATGAAAAAGGTTGAAAATTGCTGATCTAGTGCAGTGCAGTCCAATAGAAACACAATACAAGCCATGTAAGAAACAAAACTTCCTGGAAGCCACGTTGAAAAAAGTAAAATGAAACCGGTGAAATTAATTTTCATATATTTTATTAAACACAACGCATTCAAAATAGTATCTCTTGAACAAGTAATCAGTATTTTAAAACTGAGATAGTTTACCTTCTTTTTCTCGTACTAAGTCTTAGAAATACGATGCGTATTTTTCACGTGTGGCTATCATATTAGAGTATAGCTCTAGTATATATTAGCTGTTAACCTCTTCCAGAAGCACTTATATTTTTTACGAGAACTTGGAGTAAGTGAGGGGCACCATTCTCTAATGGGGCATCCCCGGCAGCTTGGTAAAGGAAATATTTAAAATTCTTCAATTCCTCAAACACTTCAAAAAGTAACCTGATATCCAGACTAAGAATAAAGTAACCCAGCAGAGCTCCTCCTTCTCATCCATGAGGAAAGGTGCTACCTGAGGGCTTCTTCAGGACTTCCCAGGTCAGCTCTCTGCGCCCTCCTTAACCATCGCCCACCCAGGGGTCCAAATAGCTGTTTTAGATGTCTTTCGCTTTGACAAATTCTTTTTCCTGAGAAGCTTCACTTTGAGCAACAGCTGCAACCCACTGGTAGTACCTTGAAATTTGTTCAATAGGATTCTGAGGCTGTATCCAAGAAAGGGAAGCAGTGATCCAATTGTGATATCTGCTAATGAGAGGTTAATGATAACACAACAGAACACACACAGGGACGCAGGCAGGCACACACAGCGTCAGCTCTCCAGAGAGACTCCCAAGGGCAGGAACCGGATTAGGAATCCAGCAGTTCTGGATCTGGAGCAGCCCAGGAAGGGCTTTGTTCCCAAACAGCTTACTGCTGTTCCTGGCTCAGCGGAAACCCTAATAAAGTTGGTAGCAAAGACAGGGAGTCAATTTGGGGCTTAGGCAGGCTTATGAGAAGAGTTTCCTTTTGATGTGTGGTCATATCCAGTGGCCTTTCAGAAATCCTACTGTTTAGAAATTCTAAATCCCCGGTATCTTGTTGTGTTGGATAAATGTGCTCGTTCTTCCAAAACGGAGAAGCGTGAGAAAGAGCAGCAGGCTGGGCATCAGAAGACCTGGGTTCAAAGTCTGCCTATGATGCTTATTAAGCTATGGGACTTCAGCAATGTCACCCCTAAAAAAAAGCTCATTTGAAAAACAAGGGAGCAATAAAAATGCCTGCCTTGCTTTCTACCCAGCATTATTTTGCAACCGAAATGGATAAGATAAAGGAAAGGGCTTTGGAAAACCATCCACTAACCTGCAGGCTGCAGGATTGTTATGAGGGGCTCTCTTTGAACTCACAGGGGCAAGTCTTCTCATTGTGCATGTGTGTGTTTTTTTATAGGTACTTCAAGAAGGACAAGGCAATTTGGTACTTTTCCAGGCAACTACGTAAAGCCTTTGTATCTATAAGAAGACTGAAAATCACAGAGATGATTTTTATTGGAGGATGAAGCGTAATTCATGACCGGTCTCTTTATTTAAAATTTGAGTCAGTAGGGAAAGTAATGCAGTGGATAAAGTAAGAAGCAAAAGAGAGGGACAGAGAAGTGTGTTGTGTTTAAAACTGAAGCCTGTCTAAGCTTACTGTGTATCAGACAGGCCTGAACCATGTGCTGAGCAGAAAGGAATGAGGCAAATCTGTATCTACTTAGCTGCTCTGGGAGCCACTCCAGCCCTCCCCTCCTCTCCCCATCTTAGGTAATCTGACCTGTAGCCCAGTCCAGGGGCGGTGAGGCCAGAAATGCCTCCTCCTGCTGCACCCTTGACCAGCTCCATCCCTAGGGGTCTCTGCGCTTCGCCTGAAGCGGCCCTCAGTGCCAGGCAGCTTCCCAGCCATTCTCCAAAGGCTCCACAGAGCCCCACTCCTCGCCACTCGGAGCCCCCGATCCCCCAACACTGCTGGGGATCTGTCTGGGCTGCCGAGGCCCCCAAACTACCGAAGACCGAGTCCCTCACTGGACCTGCTGGGGTTTGTGGAGCAGCGGAGGCAAAAGTTAGGCGCTCTGTGTGTCTAGCCTGCATGCGGCATTGCCACCAACCCCCCTGGTGTTCAGACAGAAAAGCACAGAAGGCTGGCCTGTGGGAGCCGGTGGCCATCAGATAGTTAAATGTCTATGTCGGAGTGACTTCAGTCAAGAAGCCCTGATAGCGTTTGAGGTCGCAGGCAGTGTGCTGCTTTCCATAGCACGGGTGTTCACACACAGTCACTTTCAGGGCAGCAGTTTCATTTATCAATGCCATTGCTAACCTTTCTCTTCTGGATTGTTTTTGGCCAGACAGTTTGAGGTTGATAGGCCTGTTCTCAGAGAACCGAGGATGGCGGTGTTAAGTGACTCATTTAACACACACGGGTGCACACTGGATGCCGGGGCCGCCGATGAGCAAGGCGTGCTTGGAGCCGAGAAGACACTCACCGGGTCTCCATTTTTACTCCCTGTAGGAGTTCAAAGGCCATTCAAAATGTAGTCACCCAGGGTTATGAATCCCGCTGCAGCCTGGTGAGGCTTCTCTTCAGAGCCTAGGTGCAGATGCAGCAGCCCCAGGCATGGGGAAGCAATTCTGCCGCCCCCAGGAGGTCAGAGCCAAGCCGGGGCCCCTGCGACACCTGGCATGTTCAGTCACAACTCTACCCAATTCAAGGATGTTTATGGGCCTCTCTGTTAGACCCCTTGGAGAATGAAAGATAGAAATGACCCATTCCCTGCCTGTTGGGAACTCAGAGGTGATTGGGGAGACAGATACACACACACATATAAGAGAGATTGTGATATGTGCTGAGAAGGGTATGAGAGAGGAAGAGGTGAACTTTGCCTGGAGGAATCCTAGAAAGCATTGTCACATTTCTGTCTCCATTAGCTCACTGTTGAACAACTAGGATGCCAGAAGGACCTTTGCCTGAGGGTACTTTATGGCTGAAAGTACTTGGAACTGTTTCCAGAGTCTTAAAACTCTCACCCTCCCCACAAATACATCCATGGTCGCAAATGGGAATAACAATTCCAAGTGCTAGGGTGTGTACAGGAATCCTGGCTCTCCGCATATAGCTCAGAATTGCCATTGGACTTGTCCCAAAGTCTGGAGTCTATATAAGTAGGCAAAGTTTGTCTTCAGTGTCCCTGCCTCAGCCTCTGTCTCCACTACTCATCTTAGGATCCCATCAGTTGCCCACAGTACCCTCACTTCTCTCCCTGTCTTCTTTGTAAATCCTGCTCACTGACTTATTCACACTAAAGTGTAAATGACTGATATGAGGAATGTGTCACCTGTTCCCAGAGACACTTGTTTTTAACTACAGCAGAGCCTTAATCCCAAAGGAAGATTGTGGAACTGACGGTAGAGGTGAGGTGGGGGTGCAGGCTAGGAGGAGGAGCTTTCTGGGTGGAGATTCCTTAGATAAGATTCACTGCTTTGGAAGGTCCACTCCACCACCCCAGGACACTTTTGGACTCCGAGGGAATATAGTCCTAGTGTGTGTGCACAGGCATTCGCACAGCAGCATTTCACCCATTTTGAAATGTAATTCTTGTATTGGCCGATGTGTTTCCTGGTCTTTCTTAGATGCAAACCATTAATATCATGATCTCATCTAATAGTTTTTTGAGGGGTGCTTCTTGATTAAGTAGGTAATTTTGAACACCTCTTTAAATACAGCTAGAAAATAAAACCAATTTGTAAAGCCACATTTGCATATGATGCCAGCCTCACGCATTTGTATATCTTCAGAAACCCAGATATGCCTCACTAATTTGCCCGTCTTTAATAAAATCATGTTAAAATTTGCATCAAACTTCAGCTTCCTATGTGTGACAAAACAAGGAACAAAGGTTTCCAATGGCTCTTTTGTCTTCAGACATTTAGTAATATAAAATACCTATTTTTATGCTGAGATGTTTATACAGGTTTATTAATAGCAAGTGCAACTAACTGGCGGCATGCCTTGCAAACAATTTTGATATATTAGCCATGCTTCTGGGTAAAGGCAAGCCCCAAACTACTTCTCTTTTGCAGTCTCTCTGAGATCAGTAAAAGAAAAAAAATCATATGCTTAAGTGGGACTGTAAATATGTATATTTAACTTTGTATAGCCCATGTACCTACTTTGTATAGAAAAATAATTTTAAAAATTTGAACTGAAGGGGGGTAAAATAAGGAAGTCATGAAGTTTTTTGCATTTTTATTTAAATGAAGGAATTCCAAACAACTCACCGGCAGATTTTTAGCACAAGTATAGCCATTGTAAAGTGTTAAAATTTTAAGTAAATAATCATTATTTCTGGGAGAGAGAGTAACTGCGATCTCAGTTACAGTTTCTTTTTTTCTTTTTTTTTTTTTTTTTTTTGGTTTGGTTTTTTTGTTTTTGGGTTTTTGGTTTGGGTTTCTTTTTTTTTTTTTTTTGGCAGTTCTATTTATCTGAAGTAGTATTACATCCTATTGCTAGAATAGGTTACTACAAGAAAGACTATATTCTGAAAGGAAAATATCTGACATATATAACCAATTAATTTAAAGTTTTGCCATTTAAATTACACACCGGGAGCATGTACCATGCAGACACAGGTTTCTCTGTTCATTTACTTTTCTTTATTGCAGTGGATTGATTTGATAAATAGAGGTGTTGAATTACTACATTTGCTGTACATATTATTTAATAAACTTTATTCAGAATCACGTGGCATCTGTTTGTTCTTACCATTCATTGTTTCCTTCCTTTGCCAAGCTTCCCAAAGGAGACAGACTTATTATCCCTGCTTCAATTTCTCGTACTCTCCTTTTTCATTCTTAATCACTTGCCACGTGGCTTCCACCCTCCTCCTTGAAGACTCCACTTATTACCTCATCTCTTCTCAATAAGCTGACTCCATGACCCTCTCTCAATTATTGTTGACCATTTCACCTTTCTTTCTATATGTGTGTATTTGTTCTGATTACAAAAGTAATGCATATGTCTTTAAAAGCAAAAGCGCAACATTATAAAATATATATAATGGGTCTTGATTTGCTCCATGCCACAAGGGTACAGAAAATGACACCACACTTGGTTCTTGTTTTTGGGGTTTTTAAAAAATATATTTATTTTTGGAGGGAGGGAAAGGGCGGGAGAGAGAAAACGTTGTGTTAGAGAAACAGTAGCCTCTCATGCACCCCCAACGAGGGACCTGGCCTGCAACCCAGGCATGTGACCTGCCTGGGAATTGAACCAGCAACCTTTTGGTTTGCAGGCCAGCACTCAGTCCACACACCAGCCAGGGCACACTTGGTTTTTCTAAATCAAATAAAATTAAATCTGGCTACAAGCCTTCTCCTGCTATGACAGGCAGAAATGCAGTCTGTGCTTTTTTCCCTCCCAACCCAAGTGTGTCAGGGCTGTGGCGCTAAGCATCCAGCCTCCCCTGGCGTCCAATGGCTAGGATCACCCCTGGGGTCCACTGCACACCAGGCGTAAGTCTGTCCCACAGCAAAACCCAAAACCGCCACCTTCTCTCCCCTGGTTCTCCGCCTCCTTCAACTCAGCACCAGTTTACACGGCCCCCCCCCCCTTTGGGTGACTCAGTGGAATCCCCCCTCAGTGGGCTTAGGCTTCAAACAGTCCTGGGAGAAGGATTGTTTTCCAAAAGTGTGACAGCCCTGATACTGGGCCCTGAGCCACAGACACTACTTTCTTTCACACCCTCCTCATCCAACAGATCCATTAGCTGTACGATCAAAATGCATTTGAGTCCTGGCCGATGTGGCTCATTTGATTGGAGGGTTCTCCCGTAACCCAAAAAGTCATGGTTTGATTCTGGTCAGGACACATACGTAGGCTGAGGGTTTGGTCCCCTGCTCAGGCTCTTACAGGAGGAAGCCAATGGATATTTTTCTCACATCAATTTCTCTCTCCCTCTCTCTCTCTTCAATAATTTTTTTTTAATATTTTAATATACTTTTAAAAATACATTTGGAACCCAACCACTCAACCACCATAGTCCAAGCCATTTTTGCTCACCCGGATCATTGCAATCATTCTCTACCTGCTTTCACAAGTGATCCCTCCAATTTAGTCTTAGCAACCAGAGTGTTCATTTTTTTAAAAAAGATTTTATTTATTATTTTTTTAGAGAGAGGGGAAGGAAAGGAGCAAGGGAGAGAAACATCAATGTGTGGTTGCCTCTCACTTGCCCACCACTGGGGGCCTGGCCCACAATCCAGGCGTGTGCCCTGACTGGGAATCAAACCAGTGACCTTTTGGTTTGCAGGCCAGTGCTCAATCCACCAAGCCACACTGGCCTGGGCCAGAGTGCTCATTTTAAAGTTGGTCTAAAACCCTCTAATGGCTTTCCCTTTCACTCGGAGCGGTATGACAACCTCAAGTCCACAGCCACACTGCCTCACTCTCCCCCTTACCTTGGCTTTGTTTCTCATTGTTCTTTCCAGCCACACAGTCCTGTGAGCTCAAACTCCTCACGCACACTTCAGCTTTAGGGTCTAATATATGCTACCCCCTTGGAAGTGAAGGGACCCTGCTTCTCTACCCCAGCATTCTAGTCCCCTTCTCTTCCTCTCTGTGTCTCCATAACACATCCCTGGTTTCACAACCATATAAAATCCTGTTTTGCTATTACATGCCCAAGACCTATCAGAGTGTCTGACATGATTGGTACTCAGTCACTCAATCCTTTACTGATTAAATAAATGACTGAATAAATGCATAAATGAGCCCATGTGGCCAAAGATTCTAGAACTCTGAATACGATAGTGAAAGAAGGGAACACTATCTTTCAGAGCAGAAATAGAACAGAGGTTAATCTCTCACATCATTCCAGGCTTATACAAATTTAGAAAGTGAAAATTCTCTGTAATTACAGTTGCCCCTACAGAGATCACCAGTGCCAACTATCCAATGTGTGGTCCTCCGAGCTCCTCTGCACATATGAAATACACCATCCATAACAATGCTTTGAGTAGTCTTTTTCCCCCTTAATAGAACTGGGACATGTTTCTATGATTTACTTAACGAACTGCCCATTGATGAAGCAAATGTTTGAAATTATTGCCAGCTTTTTACCACAACAAACAATGCTGCATTGAGTACAATTATTGGCTCAAAGAGCAGGAACATTTCAAATCTTGAGATACTGCCAATTGCCCTAAAAAAAAAAATTATTCTCCCGCCAAGTCCATGGGAGTGTCTGTTCCCCCCACCCAATTAAAACTAGCTCATCTGCTTCTCTGAAATGTTTCTTGGTTTGTCTGCCTTTTCTTTGGCTAGCTCCTACTCCGTCCTCTTTCTATCTTCATTGAATTTCCAGCCCTTTGTTATTTTCTCTCAACATGTTCCCCTTCAGGATTCAGATCTCTCACAATATAATTTGAAGCCAAAGAATCAATTGTATGAGGGCTCTTTTCAATGAAAAGTGGTAGAAACCTAACACTTCTGACCATTCTTGAGTCATATCAATGGGAAGAAGGCTGGAGTGAATCTAGAGACAAACTTTCTGTTGGTATTTGTCTTATTCTTTTAAAAAATGTATTACGTAGAGAGAGAGAGAGAGACAGAGAGAGAAACATCGATTGGTCATTCTGCTTATTTATGCATCCATTGGTTGATTCTTGTATGTGCCCTGACCAGGGTTTGAACCTACAACCTTGGCATATTGGGGCAGTGTTCTCACCAGCTGAGCTACCCAGCCAGAGCCTTATTTGTCTTATTCTTGGTGTTGTTGGTCTTGTGTGGCTATATTTTCACCTCCTGAATGCAACAATAGCATGGTGGCAGGCAGCTCCAGTCAGTTCTCTGACTCCAGGCTAGGCAAAGGGGCCTTCTGGTTTGGTTTCCCTGAATAGAATTCCAGACCCTGACAGGCCCAACATGGTTATTTACCCTTTCTCAAACTAATTATTTTGGCCAAAGGGGGTGGCATGTAATTATGGCTCACCAGAATCTCATGGAATCGGGGAGAGGAAAATGCCAGGGGAGGGGTGTACTGCTCTAGGAAGGAAAGAAGGCAGCTGGAGAGATAACGGTCCACTGTGCGAACTGGACTTTGAGGGTTGTTATGACAGGCTTTGGAAAATGGAACACTATTGCCCTGTCCCAGTACACATTTCAGGGCAGCTGACAGAGGCTATGTGTGGAAGCCCTGGTAGCCAAGGTTTGAGGAGGGCACGGTGGGGGAGGGCGTCCTTCCAGGAGAGTGGGCTGGTGTAACACAGGGGGTGCAGCACAGCTGGATCACACTCTACAAATATTAGGACTCTTCTGAAAAGGACCAAAGATTAGTGTCTCAAAGTCATGAGCATTTGGATGAGTTGTTCATGGGTGTATTTGCCAAGTCTTAGCATGTAGAAAAGCCTGCCTCAGGGACACTTGCTGGAAAAGAGAGAAGTTCCTACTTGATACAGGTAATTTATTGAATGGATTAGCCAAGGCAGTAGTTCAGATTGAAAATATTTAAGATGAGCTCATAAATGCAGAAAGCCTTGATGAGATTTTGAATGACCACATGACACTTTATTTGCAAAGTCTGTCCTGGAAGGCAACTACTCTACTCTTCCAGCGCCCTCGCTCAGCCAGCAGTAGGCTAAGGGTCTCTTGGGAAAACTTGTTTTTCAAGTGAGATCTGACAAACTGGGAGGAATCTGAAAAAGAAAGGTGGATCTGAGAATCACCTTCAGAGTAGTAGGATAAATCAAGAGATCTAAATCGGTGAGATCTAAAACTATGGAGGGTAGTAGATCTCAAAGTGTGGTCTGTGGACCCCTTGGAGTCCTCAAGCCCTTTCAGGAGATTTGTAAAGTCAAAACTAT